TTAGAAGTACTGACAATATTCAGTTAGTTATTTTAAAGCTAAATTCGGGGCACCTGGGTGGCTCAGTCAGTTAAGCATCTGCCTTCAGCTCAGGTCATGATCCCAGGGTTCTGGGATCAAGCCCCACATTGGGTTCTCTGCTCCATGGGGAGTCTGCTTCTCCCTCTGCCCCTCCCCCTGCTCGTGCTCTCTCTCTCTCTCTCTCTCTCAAATACATAAATAAAATCTTTAGAAAAATAAATCTAAATTTAAACATATTAGAATCTAAACATACTTATTTAAAAAGTGTTCCCCATATTTATGGAACCCTGTCCCCTTTCCTCCAGTCTACCGATGAAATTTCTAGTTGAACTGAGATGTTAGCTCTGTGAATTCTTTGGTTTCCCCAGTCAGGTCCAATGCCTCTTTCTGTGGGTGCATCTTTAGTTCATTCCTATACTCTGAAGCTTTGCATATTGTACTACAACTTGTAGTATTAGACACTCAGTAAATGTTGACTCAATCAATGAGTGAATGCTGTGAAGAACTTCATTTTACTTTTAATTAGTCCTTCAGGTTCAGAGCATGAAAGCCAACATTGTTGAATTTGTTCCCTGACAAAAGCTCTCCATGGGAGTTTTTCTCTTTGTGGAATTTGTATCGAGGAATAGATTTCCCACTAGGGGGTGCGCATGTACCACTTATATTTCAAAAAGTGTCCTAGCATGAAAAAATTGAGTAATTTAAAAATAAGTGTTCTTGGATCTGTTCTTTGATTTTCTATTTATCTTTTCTTATGACAATTTTTAAAGGTTACGTTTATTTTGTAAAGAGAATGAAAATTTTCTAAATGGAAGGAACAAAAGAAAAAAAGTACATTTTTGTCGTCAGCCTTAATGGACAATGGAAAGGTAGCATAATTAAAGGATGCATATATCTAAAATAAAACAAAACTCGCAATTTACTTTTAAGCTGAGGAATTCTTTTACATCATGAATGACACTTGGTTGTAGGCATTATTTTGCACTCAGTTTATTTGACAAATGTTTATTGGACCCCTAGCACATGGCAGAAATAAGAAAATATCCTTGTCTTTGGGAAGTTCACAGTCTAGTGGGAAGAGAGTTGGGGAAATGTAAAGCATATTGCACTGGTAGATGCTAGAATAAAGATATGAAAAAAATGCTTCAGGAATCTAGAAAGGATAAAACTAGCTATGGTAAAGGGGGTCGTCACAGAGAAAGGGGAGTTCCTGGTTCCAGCCTAGCTAGCTGCTCTTATCCCAGCTGAGCCTCCCCAGTGTCTGTTGACAGATTTCAGTCATTGTCATGAGGATGGGTGTTCTGACTTCTGTCTCTGTGCTATGCTCCACAGCCCAGCTGGTAGCCATAGGGTAGTATTTGGATATTTATATGTCAACATCTTAGCACGACATTTGCCCAAGCATTCTGGTTTTCCTAGTCTTTCCTCATCCAGTTCTGGGATCAAGGGACACCCCAGCAAATTAGTTGAGTGAGGCAATGGGGTGTAAAAGTGAGAAGATGAAAAACTTTGGAGAAGTAAAAGAGTAACTCTGTAGCAAGTCAGCTGCATTGGGCATTGAAAATTACTGGAACGCCAGTCAGCATGGTATTAGTATGCTTAACCGACTAGTGAGTTGCCAGTGGATCCTATGGCATAGAAAGCTTTATTTTACTTGTGTTTCTTAAAGTAAATCTAGATTGTCAGAATATGCTGGTTTTAGGGGAAAAGACTCTCCTAAGCTCATGTCCTATGGATGGGTATGTGTGTGTCTGCATAGATAGGATTAAGCATATGCTTGTGGATGAGCTAGATGAGTACCTAGAGGGAGGAAGAGTTTATAAAAAGACGGCAATTCGTGTTGTAGGCCTCGGCTGCTCTTCTCTACTACCCCGGAGCAGTTTTGAGAGAGGGAGATTACCAGTTGGAAACATCAGAAAGCTATAGTCTCAAGTGCCCTCATTGACAATTTTATGAGACTGCTGTTATAGGAAGTGAGAGTCTAGACAGGTTTCATACTTCTTAAAGCAGCAGAGTTATTTTTTAAGTAAAAGAAATAAAAGGGATGAAAACGAACAACACAATCTGATTTAAATGCCAACACTTCTCTTATTCTCTCCAGTGTAACTGCTAAAGAGTGGGTAGGCAGGGGGAGGGTGAAGGAAGCAACACCTTGGTATGGATTTTCAACACTAGGAAACGAAGGACAAAACAAATAACACATTTAGGTGAGTGTTTAGGTATTTTATGGACATTTCATGAGGCTCTACCTTTAGCTTTTCATTACAAGAAAAATATGGAAACGTATACATGAGATTTTTAGCGTTTTTATGAAGAGAAGATTATTTGTTAGTCAAGGTTAGAGGGAAACAAAGAATTCCAGAGAGTTTTGTCAGGGTTTTGGAATAATGATAGATGAAATCTAAACTCAACATAAGCAAGGTAATGCTGCAGAAGCTGAGATTTTCAATAACTATGTTTATGCATTGTGACAGCTTATAAATTAAAAACCTAGCAACTCTAAGGAAATACACCCAGCCATCACCAAGGATAATGTAATAGAGGTAACTGTTCTATAAAAAGGGGAGTTTGGATCTGATGCTATATGGAAAATGGAAGAGGAAGTCAATTTGAAAGTAGTATTTTACTGATTATTTGGTGTCCTACAATGAAAAAATGAAGGCAAAAAACATCAGAAGCTGCTATGAAATAAGTAGCCCGGGTAAGAGCTGGTAGGAGTGTAGGTGGCAAATTATATTAACTGTAGATTCAAATAAAACTATTGCTTTTAAATTCTTTGTATAATTCATTAATGTGGCATATTATTTACGAGAGCCAAGACAGAATGTAAGTTGGCCTGATTACTCAGGGGGGAAAAAGAAGAGGAAACTCAAAATAAGTTAAAATGATTGAAGAGTTAAAATAAGAAAAGTCAAAAGTAGCTTGTGAAATTACCCCCTTAAAGAATTTTTAAGAGTCCTTGAGACAATTCTAGACTCGAAACCAGAAAATTGAACCATTTCAGTGTAGTCATATATGATCTTGTAAACTTCTCTCAACCTCTATTTCCCTCTCTGTCTTGAAGGGTAAACAAATGGTTTCTTAGATGCCTTCCAGCTGCAAACTAGTTTTCTTTTGTCTGAAGTTGTGTTTAATACTAACATAAGATTGAAGACATTTCCTCATATTTTCTTAACTACTAAATGGTATTGCTTTGCAGCCTACGTAACTATCTTCCACCCTTCCTCTGACTCAATGTATTGATCTGCTTATCTCAGAGGAGAGACCCTGACATGTTCAAATAGTGACCATTAGCCCACCATGTAGGGATTTTTTTTTTTTTTACTTAAAAAATTCTGTTTTTGAATGTGTAGAGGGAAGAATATGGGCATACTAATCAGATAAACCTCGGTTCGAAACCTATTACTTACCAGCTGAATGCAGTAGCAACTGTTTCCTTATCTGGAAAAATAGGGCTAATACCCACCTTGAAGAAAGAGTATTATTCAGCTCTCAGATCAATACATTTTGAGATTTCTGTTCCCTTTCTTCCTATTTATAATCTGCTAGGGCCTAACTAGAAAAGAAAACAGATTTGATTATTTTTAGAGTCTTTAAAGAAATCACTGCTGGTTTCCAACAAAACCTTTATACAAAATGGAGTGAAGTCTCACAAATAATAAAAATCAGCCACTCTGACAGGGTTTGAATAGCAAGGGAATTTTAGGCAATAGGCACTAAGTCAACATACACCTCCAGAATTCTTCTGCAGAACATTATAACCGGTCATTTCTTCGCTTATGGGCAAGATTTCCAGAATACCATGGGAAAATTAACCCTCATTTCAGTATATTAAGCTTTGAAGTCAGAATATAAATATGAGATTTTTAGCGTTTTTATGAAGAGAGGATTATTTGTTAGTCAAGGTTAGAGAGAAACAAAGAATTCCAGATAGTTCTGTCAGGATTTTGGAATAATCCCGGGTCTATTTTCAGAGCGCGAGAGGCCTGTTTCTAGACGCTAGAGGGTTAGTGACAATGGGTTTAAGCCCCGTGTTGGTCCCTTCCCCAGAGCCCCCAGCTCCTCCTGGGTGCCAAATCCTGAAGGTATCCCACCCTCTCCCTGCTTTCTTTTGAGTTCCCACCCCCACCCCATTCGGCTGCTTCTCCTTTTCTATCTTCGCTTTCTCCCATAAGTGGGCAAAATAGGAAACGGAAGTATCTATTTGTTGCTTGGTGTAGTGCTCGAAAAGGTTTTTTAATTAAGAAAAAAAACAGGTTGTTCATTTTGCAATGAGTCCGAGCGTCCGCCGGCCCCCGAGTCCTCCCCCATCCAAGTGTCGTTCATTCTGCGAGGACGCTCGAGTCTGTCGGAGGGGGTCTGCGCCTCCAGCCGCACAGAGGGATCTGTGAGCGAACCGGCTCGGGATCCGGGGAGGCGCGGGAAGCACCGCCCCCCGCCCGGCGGGGAGGTGCGGGAGAGGCGGCGGCCCGGCCCAGCCGGGGAAGCCCGTCCCGGGAGCCCGGAGGGCGCGGGCAGCGGCAGCGGCGGCGGCGGCGGCGGCGGCGGCGGGGACGCGGCGTGGCTGCCGCAGGGAAGCCGCGGCGGCGGCGGCGGCAGCGGCGGGCGGGCGCGAGGGGCGGGGCGCACTCCGCAACTTCTGCCGCTGCCTCCCGGGCGCGCTCGGCCGAAGCGCGCGGTTGCTGCGCGCTGCGGGCTGCGGGGCGGCCAGCCGAGCCGTGCCCGCGGGCCCGCGAGCTGCGCGTCCCGGACGTCCGTCGGTGCCGGAGGAGCCTCCCGCAGGGAGTCTCGGCGCGGCCGCGCTCCCGCGTGGTCCGCAGCGGCTGGGGCCCCGGGACGTGCGGGGCCGCGAGGCCGAGCCGAGGCGCCCCCCAGTGGCCGGCGCGCGCTCCATGGCTGGGCCGGGCGGAGCGGAACCGGCGAGGTGAAGCCCCCCGGGCCGGCGGCCGGAGCGCGTGGCGGGGGTGCCGGCTCCATGGGCAGCAGCGCACAGCGGCACGATGATGGACGTTAACAGCAGCGGCCGCCCGGACCTCTACGGGCACCTCCGCTCTTTGCTCTTGCCGGAGGTGGGGCGCGGGCTGCCGGACCTGAGCCCCGACGGCGCCGGCCCGGTCTCGGGCTCCTGGGCGCCGCACCTGCTGCGCGGGGTCCCAGAGGTGACGGCCAGCCCGGTGCCCACCTGGGACGCGCCGCCGGACAATGCCTCCGGCTGCGGGGAGCAGATCAACTACGGCAGAGCCGAGAAAGTTGTGATCGGCTCCATCCTGACGCTTATCACGCTGCTGACGATCGCCGGCAACTGCCTGGTGGTGATCTCGGTGTGCTTCGTCAAGAAGCTCCGCCAGCCCTCCAACTACCTGATCGTGTCCCTGGCGCTGGCCGACCTCTCGGTGGCCGTGGCGGTCATGCCCTTCGTCAGCGTCACCGACCTCATCGGGGGCAAGTGGATCTTTGGCCACTTCTTTTGCAACGTCTTCATCGCCATGGACGTCATGTGCTGCACGGCCTCGATCATGACCCTATGCGTGATCAGCATCGACAGGTAAGGGCCGGGCCGCCCCGTCCCGGGGTCCGGCTGCGGATGTGCTGGCAGCTCCACCGCGAGCGCTCGCCTTTCCTGGGAGGATAAGCCAGACTCCTCGGCGGGATGAAGGGCTGCGCCTAAAACATCAACCAACCCCCACACATCAACCCTACACCAACCGAGCAACTACAGTTATAGCATAGTCTATATACACCTTTAAAAAAAGAGCCCGAAATGTTCTAGTTTACTGTAGTGAGGGTTTTAAGACCAAAGTTAAAGTATTTTAAGTATTGGCAGTTCCAGCACGGGGTCCCTTGGCTTGGTTTTTAGAAGGAAGGGATTTGATCCTTTCTGAGCTTGACAAACCCTTGCTGTGAGTCTGAAAGTGTCATTTCTTACTTTAAGAAATCAGTCGTTGAAAAGCCTCCTTGCTTCCAGATTGTGGGAGCTGCCCCCAGGCAGGGGACTGAGGAGGGTTCCAGAATTGGGGGTTCTACATGTCTAAACGTTGCACCCCTATGATTGATGGTTCTGAATCTCATTCTCCTGGACGTCTGATTTTAGTGTTTGGAAACGCTGTCTGGGTCCTGCAGGCTTGCTGACTGGAGCCTTACTCCTTGTCTGAATGGTTGGTTCTAGCCTTTCATCATATCCCTTGAGAATCTTCTCTTGAGAACTCCCCAGTGGAGTAATTGCAACAGAGGCTGACCATCTGTCAGAGATACTGGGGGAAAAAAATTCCGGTAAAATTCTTGGGTGTCAGATTGGGCTAGGAGACCCCCGAGGATTACAGGATGCTGCAATGGAGCTAGTCTTTGGTACCTGAAACACTGTGCAACTGACAACTCGAAGGATGGTTCCAATGTTCTTTGGCCACCTAATAACTCTGTTTCTCTTGAAACCGAAATAGTAAACCTTAGTGTTCATGCACATAATTCTGCTGGTGTTTTAAAACCCGCGCAGGACTGGTATCCTGTTGTGTTTAATGATACAGAGAAACAATTGCTTATTTTCTTTGTGGACCTACAGAACCTTTAAATGTGTAAACCCTTCAGCATAGGAGAAATGATTGATGCCTCCACACTTAAAATGACAGTGCCTCAAAGGATGGTTTAGCAGGAAACTGAGATTTTTCTTCCTTTTCCTCCCTGTAAATACTGCTATTTGTGGTTTGTTGGTATTTAACATGTTCTGTTTTACTGTTTGATCAGGGTTTATAATTACTGAATAAAGAGAATGATAGGAAAGGGGATATTTTCAAGGAAAAAATATATTGTAGCTGCGTTTAAAGATCTAGGTTATTTTTAAAGAATTGACCTTGCCATTTCATATATCATGTTAGGTAGGAGCTTCTGAGAGCAAACAAGGAATTAATTTTAAGAGTAGTGCACGAATGGCATATATGAGAATATTAGCTCCAAACTTGACAGCTGAAGAAGTTCTGAATTACTGTAGTTAAGAATGACAAAAACATATGCACTCACAGGCTGGCTGTGGCAACAGGAAATAGGAGAGTGCATGCAATATACATAGTAAGTATATAAATGAATTGTAAGCATAAAAATTGGACTGCTAAGCCAACCAAATCGGCGCTTCTTGCATGAATGGAGTCCTTTTAAATGGAACTTAGTGTAGTATAACACATATAAATTTATGCTGCAAGAAATGCATTTATAATTTTTTTCCTTTCATAATTGATAAATGATACGTAAACAGCACAGTATCCTAACTCATCTCCTAGCACAGCCAGTGCTTCTGTCCTGCTTCTGTCCTGCTGGGCACATTCAGGTTTGGCTTGGGACCACCCTGAGATTCCTGTATATGAGCTAAAGGCTTTCTTCACTCAGTGTGCACATGTGACTTACCAGCAAGCAGCAGGAATATCTCGATGACAGAGGTTAATCCTTCTTGGCAAGAGTTTCCAGTTTCTTCATCCAGTATATCCGTACGATTCTCACAAATTGTGGTAATATAGGGATATAGAGTCTCTTTATTTCCTATCAGAATGCTCCATTGGTGAATTCTGCTTAAAAAATTATTTTGGAGGATGAACATAGGTTTTTCTTATTTTAGATAAAATGAAGAATTGATACACTGGAAGACACAGATTGTTTTTCTTCCAAGAACACACAAAAATAAAAATGAGAAAAAGGAAAATGCATTTGATATCTAAGGTAAATTACTTCTGGAGATTGTTTTCTTCAGTTTTATTGTAGACTATGACCAATGATATACAAATGTGCTAAGAAAATATGAAAAATTTTCATCTTCATTTGTTCATTCCCTCTTGAGTACAAGGTTAGGTTACAGTGTACTTTGTGCAGCATAATCAAAGATGAATAATAGTATTCCTGCCTTTGAGCTCTTACTGTATTGTGAGAGTTTGGATATCTTTTGAGCATTTAACGTGTCCAAAATGGAACCTTTGATTTTTCTTAACCACACCCCACCTTACAGGGATGCTTTTCTAGCCTTTTCAAATGCAATTTCATGCTGTTCTTCTGCAGAGTCTTCAACATTCCCTTCCCCACCCTTCTCAGATGATGATTCATGATCATTGAAGAAGTAGCAGTCATTGGATGGGAGCTTCATGATCTCTCCACTACCAAACAGTCTTTCTTACATCTGTTCCCTTTTTATTTCTGCCCAGTTAAAAGGTGAGAAGACATTGTTCCCCGGCAAAGACCAAACCACCTGCGCTCCCCATCCCACCCCCTCTCATCTCAAGGATCTTGTTCCTTCCTTGATCCCTCTTCTCTTCTTTGTCTTCAGTGTTTCCTCTCAAATGGGTCAAGCTTGATCTTCTATTTTCCTTTGGCCTTACTTCTCTCTGTAGTTACTTCTCCAGTTCACAGTTAAGCTGCTCAAAGAACTGTGCCCACAAGCTGTCTTTATTTCCTTCCTCCTCAGGTAGATGTTTGGCACTCTCAGGTCTACTGAAGTATTTTAACGGGCCTTCCTGGTTTCATTTCTATCCATCTCTCATCCATTGGCCATGAAGTAGCTAGAATGATCTCTTCTAAAAAAATTGTTCTAAGTGAAATAACATTTACCTATAGTGAAATGCACAGATATTAAATGCATAGCTTGATGTGTTCTGACAAATGTCTATACCCATGTAACCAACACTCCAATCGGGATATAGCATATTTTTATAATTTTAGAAAGTTGCCTTGTGCCCCTTTCAGAATGATCTTTTAAAACTAGAAATCAGGGGTGCCTGGGTGCCTCAGTCGGTTAAGTGTCTGACTCTTGATTTTGGCTCACGTCATGATCTCAGGGTCCTGAGATCTTCAAACCCCGGGTGGGGCGCTGCACTCAGTGGGGAGTCTGCTTGAGATTCTTTCCCTCTTCCCCTATCCTCACTTGCTCTCTCAAATAAATAAATAAATCTTTGAAAAAAATAAAAATAGAAATCAAATTATATTTTACATGCAGTTTAAAACATACAAAAGAGCGCTATACATTGTTTAGGTGAGTTTATATAAAGAGTAAAGGAAAAAAGAGTGCAGAGGAATGGTGAACACTTCACTCATGGGAGTGGTTATCTCTGGTTGGGGGTGGGGGTGTATGAGGGAGTAACATGCTTACCAACTATACCGGTAATGTTTTGTTTCTAATTTTGATAGTTGATTCTTTATATAACTTTCTGTATGTCTGAAATATATTTTTAATGTCTTTTGGAAATACATATAGAAAATGAACAATCCTAAGTATAGAGCTTGATGAATTTCCATACAGTGAACACTTTGATGTAATCTGCCACTAGATCAAGAAATTGAACATTACCAACCTCCTAGAGGCCCCCTTCTGCCCCTTTCCAGTTTCTGATACTCCAAGGATAACTGTTATCCTGACTTTTAGCATCGTGAATTAGTTTCACTTGGTTAGAACTCATATAAATGGAACAATATAGTATGTACTCTTAATTCTGACTTCTTTTGCTCAATATATCTGTGTGATTCATCCATAGTTTATAGTCTTTCAGTACTTTATTTTGTTTTATTTTATTTCAATTTTTTTGGTGAGTAATATTCCATTTAATTTGTTTATCAATTCACCTGTAGATGGACATTTGAATTGTTTCCAGTTTCTGGATATTACTAATAGTGCTGCTATAAACATTTATTTGTATACAAGTCATTTTGTGGACTTGTTTCCATTTGTTTTGGGTAAATACAATACTGTATAGTAAGGTTCTTTATTGTATTTTAATTCTATTTACCCCCTTACATCCTTTGTGTTATTGTTGTCATGCATTTTAATCTACATATTTAAAGGATCTATTAGATATTATTTTTGTTACTTTAGACAGTCAGTATTCATTCTTATTTCCCCACACATTTACCTTTGCATTGCTCTTTATTTTTTTCCTACATTAACATGCTTTCATCTGGGATTATTTTCTTCTGCCCAGTTAAACTTTCTTTTCTTTTAAATTTAATTTTATTATGTTATATTAGTCACCATACAATACATCAGTAGTTTTTGATGTAGTGATCTATGATTCATTGTTTTCGTATAATACCAGTTAAACTTTCATTAGCATTTTTAAAAGTGAGGGTTTGTTAGTAAAAATACTGTCAGTTTTCATTTATCTGAAACTGTCTTAATTTTGCCATGATTTTTGAATGACATTTTCTCTGAGTATGTAATTCTATATTTGAGGGGATTTCAGCACTTTAAAACATTCTTCCATTGTCTTCGGGTTTCCATCAGTTCTGTTGAAAAATCAGCCATTAACCAACATTATTATTATGCCTTTGAAGATAATGTGTCTTTTTTTCTTCTGCTTGCTTTTAGGATTTTCTCCTTGTCTTTAGTTTTTATCAGTTTTTCTGTGATGTCCCCAGGTGTGGCATTATTGATTATTTTTTGCTGTTTGTTTGCGGTCAACCCTGCTGGGGTTCTTAGTAATTTTTGTATTTGTGCATTAAAGTCTAATCAGTTTGCTGTTATCTCTTTAAATAATTTTACTGTCCCATTCTTTCTTCTGTGTCTCAAATTTACATAATTTAGAAC